CAAACTATGGTGCTTAGGCCCTATTGGAAGAATTGTCATTTAACTGATAACACTTTTCTTGCTATATGGGTTGTTCCTAGTAGGGCGTTTTTTTTCTGGGTGACTTATATGTTGATGTTACCTGGGGCACTGTTAGTAAAATTCTCCATTCCTTTTCTCACGGAGTCCAGAGCTCCGATTACTATTGGTACACTTTCAGTCTTCATTCCCCACATCCTGTTAATCTCGATTTCCAGGTTCTTGTATTGGGACAATTTCTCGATCATTTACATGCGGGTCTTTTCTCTCAGATGGTACTGCTATGTCAATAAGCATACACTTGTCTGAATGTCTTGTCTTTTATGATAACATCAGGTCTGTTGGCTTTTATCTCCCTGTCAGTTTGAATTGGCATATCCCAGAGGATAGTTACATCGTTATTTTGGGTAACTGTGTCTGGTTGGTGCTCATACCATCTCCCAGTGGTTTATTATTATTATTATAAGAAATACCCATGAAAATTTCACAGTTTTTCTAATTTGAATTTTCTGATGAATCCTAATTCTTCAGTTAATCATTGAATAAGAATATTTTGGGGTTCTACGACCATAAAATACCTATGGAAATTTCCCTTAAACTATAGTGGGTTATCAGTTATAGTGTATTGTATTAGGGTTGAAACAGATTAGTTTGATTTGGCCTTGTTAGTTAGATAGCCCACCATAAGAAGGGTATAAAACAAGAAAATCAAATTATAAAGTGAAACAACAAATTTATATACATATAAATCAATTAAGGTCTCTACAAATAAAATTAATGTATTTTGGTTGATACAAGGTCGTCAAAATATTCGTAGTAGTCCTTGCAAGAATGAGTTCATGTGTACGTAGGCAGGACCGTGTGTATGTATGTATGTATGTATGAGCGATATCGTAGGGTAGGAATGCCTTTGAAGTAATCGCTCAGTCTTAAAATGTTCCGTTCGTTTAATAAACGAGGTGAGGGAGAAAGGTAGAGATAATAACGATCGCTTGACGTTTGTCAAGGGAAGTGTTAATACGCTCGTCTCCTTCATTCTGGTGACAGGCGAACTTGCTCGTCTTTTATTTTGTTTGTGGTGCTTGAAAAGTTCATTTGGGAATTCACTCCTGGATATGATTCGGGCCTTTCCATTGGACGATGAACAAACTTCGCGTCGGCTCGCGAAAAGGTCCGTAAAAGAATTTGTTTCTGAGAATTGAAGATTATTTGAATTTTGCTTTTAAATGTTTCCTAGTTTTCCATTGGCCGAAAAACATTTCGCATCAAGGTGTGAAATTTCACGAGTTTTGTTTTGGATTCGCTTTTGCGTGCGTGCTAAGCAAAGTTTGTAAATTCGAGTCTTTTTTAATTTCTAACAAAATCAATGAGTCAGTGCCGAGCATTTGAATTTTAAATCTAGATCTTGTTTTGTTCACTACAAAACAGTTGAGCTTAACAACTTTAATGAAATATTGCGATAACAATTATAAATGTAAATGCTGGTCGTTATTTAAAGAAGTAAAAGGGTACAAATGAAAAAATTTAAAATTGACAAATTTTTCCACCTCACTGAAACAAATGTTAAACATTTCTATCTTCCCTTTCTTTCTTTCTTTCTTTCTTTCTTTCTTTCTTTCTTTTGATCAAACCGGAATAGTCCATTATTTATGAGATATTGGCAGAAGACGTTAAATCTTCTACCGTCCCTTCTTTCTTTCTTTCTTTATTTTTTCTTTCTTTCTTTCCTCACTGAAACCAAGTACCGTCACTGATATGTCTTCGTCTTTCCACGCGAGCAAAACGGCTCCAAATAAAGCCAAGGTCGTTTCATCTGCAGAGAAGGTGATGATCTCTGTTTTTTGACATACAAAAGGCATTTTTTTTTTACTGTTTTAAAAAGGGCCACACTATGATTAATGATGAACATGTCATTTTCGTTTAGTAATTATATATTTTTATTGCTCAAAGTTCAGTAGAGTTCAATAGTGTTATAAAAAACTCGGAGAATTCCAGTAAGATACCTTTAATCATTTCTAAGATACAACGGTTCAAAGCTTAATCTAACAAATGGACATTTTACTTTTGCACGATTTGGACAATTTTGCTCTTACACCCGATATATATATATATATATATATATATATATATATATATATATATATATATATATATATATATTAAAAATGGACAAGGTCAGACATTTTATTTATTAAAGACATTTTTATGTTTAACGTTGTTATTTTATAGATACAAGTATTTAAGCAAATGCTCTGTTTATGATAAACAGTATTAAATAACATTTACCGGCCTGAAGAGGCAAGGCACGTCAGCGTATATGACGGTTCCGTATAGGATGCAGGTTCGAATCCTGTCAAAGAACGAATATTTTCTATGAAAATTTCTCGGACATTCAGGCCGGTAAATGTTATTTAATACTGTTTATCATAAACAGAGCATTTGCTTAAATACTTGTATCTATAAAATAACAACGTTAAACATAAAAATGTCTTTAATAAATATATATATATATACATATATATATATATATATATATGTGTATGTGTGTGTGTATATATATATATATATATATATATATATATCAAAGTGAACATTGACGTCAACACTTAGAGACGACAGGCTGACGATTGCGCCTAGCGTAAAACAGCCTATCGCCTTTGACTTTTGACTTCAATGTTCACTTTTATATTTATACACGCTCTATCTCTGATATTGAGCACTTTATCCCATAAATATAGCACACCTTAAGACTATATTTCTTCATATATATATATATATATATATATATATATATATATATATATATATATATGTTAATAATAAATAGAGGGCAATAAAGACTATAGAAGGAACCGGAAACCCAATCTTAAGCAGGAAACAATGGATAAATCTGGTTGAAAATACTGAGGAGTGTGAACCAGACGATAGGGGAACAGGAGTAGAGGTTTATCCCTTGTTTCCTTTTAAGGAATGCTTTTCAGGTTCCTACTAAAGTCTTATTCAACTCTATACTTCTAGCATCTCGGTCTAAATTCTGAAATTTTATTTACTATTTATTTTTACTCATTAGGAGTAGATAGGTTCACCTATCGTCCGATTCATATTACTCCCCCGTATTTCGAACAGGAGTAGAGGTTTATCCCTTGTTTCCTGTTTATGATAAGGTTTCCGCTTCCTTCTAAAGTCATCTTATCCTCTTTACTTCTAGTATCCCTTTGCGTCTCAATGGCATTATCGATTTGCTTGGGGTAATTTCTTTTTATAAATACGAAAGAATACTATATATTCTACCCTCGTTTTTAACACAACAATTATATTTTTTTAAATCTATTTGTTTAAAGTAGTTTTGGAGAGGGTGCAAACAAGGAGGAAGCTTATATTTAACATCAGGAAGAGACAGCTGAAAATTCCGGGACACGTAATGAGAAAGGAGGGTTTAGAGAATCTGATACTCATAAGGCGAACAGAAAAAAAGATGGACAAGCGAAAGCAACGCGTGACATATTTAGAGGGCTTAAGCAAGTGGGTGGCAGAACAAGGTCTAGGAGAAGTAACAAAAGGACAAAACATATTGAGAACTACATGGGATGGCGGGGAGGTAGAGAGCCATGATCGCCTACGTCCTGAAGGGACACAGCACATAAAATAAAGAAGATTTATCGCCGGGTTGAGAGTATTTAGTGCTGGATTGTTATATGATATAATATATAAAAATATATATAAATCATGAAAACTTACCTTCGTTAATCATGTGATGTGACAGGCCACCTCGAAGAAGACAAAGCGACGTCTGCCTCCCGCGACAACTGAGCTACTCACGGAGTCAAGAGAGTATTGCGAGGGAATAAAAGAAACAAGTTGCCATGTTGGAATTTCGATGACTTAAAATATTTTAATGTAAGAATATACTTCATACGACTAAGGCTGAGTTAATGTAAAACATGTTTTCTATACATATCAATTGATTAATCCTTAAATAAAAGAATTTCAATAAAAAATGTCTATGTTTATTTTGGGAAGATTTTTAAAATCGGACAGAGATTTCTCTTTGTTTTATAAGCATCCAAAATGGCGTATTGAATCTTTTGTTGAGAGAAAAGAAAAAAAAAAAAGAAGCGGGAAAAATAATTCCTTCAAAGATTTATGAAATTATTGAATGAAATTAAAGTATTACTTCTTTTCTGGATCATTGTTATCCTGGTTCAAGAACGAAGTTATGACATTTATTCTGACTTTAAAATGAAATAGAAGTAAAAATAAAAAGGAATATAGATAAAAAAAAAAGAAAAAGAAAAATGAATGAAAAAGAAAGAAAGAATAAATATATATTAAGAAAGAAAGTAAAAGAGAGGTAGTAAAAAAGAGAGAATAGATAGATAGATAGATAGATAGATAGATAGATAGATAGATAGATAGAACTGACTGAGAAAGAAAGAAAGAAAGAACGAAAGAAAGAAAGAAATAAAAAGGGAGAACAGACGTTGATAGATAGATAGATAGATAGATAGATAGATAGATAGATAGATAGATAGATAGATAGAACTGACTGAAAAGGAAAGAAAGAAAGAAAGAAAGAAAGAAAGAAAAACCATGCGGAGATAGATAGATAGATAGATAGATAGATAGATAGATAGATAGATAGATAGATAGATAGATAGAACTGACTGAGAAAGAACGAAAGAACGAAAGTAAGAACAGAGATAGATAGATAGATAGATAGATAGATAGATAGATAGATAGATATTAATAAACGCAGATAAAAGAAAGAAAGTAAAAAAAGAAAAGAAGAAAGTAAGAAAGAAAGAAAGAAAGAAGAAAGAAAGAAAAGCGTGAAAACATTCTCTGAACAAAAAATTTCTCTGCTTAAACAGAATCTTCCAGTTTTGATTAATTACAAGCGTACCTCCGCCACTCGACTCCCACAAAAGACTTAGAATGTAGATAAGAACCCCCCCCCAAGAAGAACATGCCGTTTTTCTCATCTGTCATCACAAAATACGAAAACAATTGTCCTGCCTATCCATACCCCGACATTTTGTCTCGCCGGCATTTCTTTTGTCTTCTCACTCATTTTCTTCTCGGACATCTTTCATTTAACTTATCAAACCCCGACCCCGACCCCGTTCTTTTGGCAACTTGCAGACCACAGTTGCTTCGTACTTTGCCAGCCGATGATAACATAACTCACGCTGAAAAATAAATAATTAAATAAATAAATAAATAAATAAATAATAATAATAATAAATTTAAAATGAGCTGCAAAATACCGAAACAAATTGGATGGCGTCTCTGAAGATCTGAGAGATTCTGGAAATATTCACATCCCGACTAAGAAGTGTTTCCTAAAAAATTCCGATGTTTGGTCAATTGGTCACATTTTGCGAATTTAAAGGAATGAGAAATCTATATATAAATTTCTGTAACTTCCTTTTAGTCCGTCACACCCTATAGCCATATATTGACTGATCGGAAACAAATTTGGGTTCGTTGTTTTTGTTTGACGGCATATCAACCTCTAGGGGTTATTTAATGCCGAAATCTAAAATATTTTGAATACAGTTGTATGCCTTCAACTACAGATCAAATATATTCTTAGTAATTTTTTCTCTAAATATGCATTGTTGGTAATTTTACTATAAGTAGATATTGTTGGTTGGTTTGATTTTATTTAGCGGCATATCAACACCTCTATGGGTTATTTAATGACGAAATCTAAATATTTTGAACGCAATTTTATTATTTCTTTTTTTTTTGTTTTAGATAATAATGGTTTAGCAATACAAGTCTAATTAATTAACCCATAGCTGGAGGAGAAGAAATGGATCCATACCTTTCCCAAAGGGTATTTGCGCTTAAGTGAATATAACGAATCCAACTGGAATTGGAACTCGGGTCTCTGATTAACAATTACGAGCCATTATCCAATGCACCACTCGCACATCCAACCAACTACCTACTCACCAGGCTCGACGTTGCTTAACTTCTGGAACCGATGTTTTCAACGTGATATGGCCGTAAGCTTAAATTTGGGGTGGGGTGGAGGGTAAAGTGCAAACAAGTAGGGGGTGTAAACAGTACAGCTGGTTTTACTAGGGTGCGTAGCTTAGTACAATAAAATATTTTTTGGGGAAAAATTAACAGTTTTCTTATTTATCATACAAAATACTCTCACTATTTCAAAAACATTTTAATGATTAAAATAATAAATAAGTACTTAATAAAAATGCAATATTGTTTTTTTGCATATCTTTTCTTTAAGTTTTATATATATATATATATATATATATATATATATATATATATATATATATATATATATAAAAAAAATCTAGTTTGGCATGCTTTTTCAATAATCCAGTTTCCATGCTTATGCAAGAATTATAAAAAAAATCACAAGTCCAAACGCTTCAGAAAGTTGGAATATGGCTCCAGAATGACATATTAACGTAAGGCCAGTTGTATGATGCATGCTCAAGAGTAAGAAATCCTAAGAATTTATTCTTCGTTGTTAAAAAGAAAAAAAAAATAATCTTAAAAACCATTAAATTAAAGAAATTATTAAACGGCGAAGTAGGGTTTTTGTCAAAGTATTTTTTCCAAACAAATCTTATTCAAATTTTATTGATTGGTTTGTGAAAATGAACTAAACCAAATTTTGGGAAGTAGTGGAAACAGGTAAGGGGGGGTACAAACTACAGTTGATTTTACTTGGGTGCATAGTTTAGTACAATAAATTTTGATTCATTTTTTCTTTTTTGGGGGGGGAATTAAAAGTTTTATTATTTAACATACAAAACATTCCCACTATTTTAATGATTAAAATGACAAATACTCATCTATTTGTCTATATATAAAATTCTGTGAAATTGGAGTGGGGGGAGTGAAAACAGGTAAAAGGGTTATAAAGTACAGATGGTTTTACTAAGGTGCATAATAAGTGCGAAGTAAGATTTTTGTTGAAGTATTCTTCCAAATAAACCCAAATTGTCCATACAAATTCCATCGATTGGTATGCTAAATTGAACAATGCTAAATACTGTGAGGATTTTTTAAAGAAATCTTGTAAAGAAAAAAAGATAAAGAAAAAAGATGCATTAAAATGAAAAACATGGAATGAAAAATGAAAAAAAGAAAAGACAAAAAAAGGAAAAGAAAAAAAAAAAGAAAAAAAAAGAAAAAGAGAAAAAAACCAAATGAATGAAGAAATGAAAAAAAAAAAAAGTGTTGAAGAAAGAATGAAAAAAAAAGAAAAAAAGAAAGACAGCGAGAAAAAATAAAGAAAGAAAAAGAGGAAAAAAAAAAAACGAGCCGAAGAAAAGAAGAAAGAAAAAAATAAAAAAAAAGAAAAAAAAAAAAGAAAACAAAAAGAAAAAAAAATGAATGACTGAAGAAATGAGAGAAAAAAAACCAGCCGAAAAAAAAGAGACGAAAAAAAATAAAAAAGAAATGATTGAAAAAATAAAATGAAAGAGAGCGAAGAAAAAATAGGGAAATAGAAAAAAAATAAAACCAAAAAATAGGAAAGAAAACATGAAAAAAAAAATGAAGCAATGAAAAAAAAATAAATAAAAGAAAATAAAATAATTAAGAAAATGAATGAAAAAAAATATTAAGAAAGAAAAACGAAACAAAAAAAAAATAAATATATTAAGAAAAGAAAGACAGAAAAGAAAAGAAAAAGAAAATAAAAAAGAAAAATTTAAATGTATTAAGATAGGAAAAAGAAAGAAAAAAAAATGATTGAATGAAGAAATGAAAAAGAAAGCCGAAAAAAAAAAAGAGAAATGTATTAAGAAAGAAAGAAAATGTGTAAAGAAAAATAGAAATGATTGAAAGAAAAGAAAAAAAGAAAATATGTAATATTTAAATATATCAAGAATGAAAAAATGTGAAAAATTTTTAAAAGAAAGAAAAATGTAAAAAACAAAAAAGTGTAAATGAAAAGAAAGAAAAAAATAAATATTTTTGAAAAAAGAATGAAATGAATGAAATATTTTTTTAAAAAAAAAAAATGAAAATATAAAAAATGTTTTAAAAAAGAAAAAATGTGAGAAAAAAAAGAAAAAGAATGAAAGAAAAAGTCAAAAGATGGATAAAAAATATTTTTTACAAAAAATAAAATAAAAAAGAAATATGAATAAAGAAATTAACAAATGAAATGTATTAAAATGTGTAAAAAAGAAATTACAAGGAAAAAAAAAAATGAAAAAAGTAGAGGAAAATATTTTTAAAAAGAAGAATGAAATAGGGAAATAGATAATTAAAATAAGAACATTTTTAAATGTATTAAGAAAGAAAAAGAAAGAAAAAAATATAAATATATAAAAAAGAAAGAAAATTTTTTTTAAAAGAAATAAACAAAAAAGAAAGAATATGTGCCAATATATTAGGAAAAAGAAATTATGTAAATATATTAAGAAATAAATAAAGAAAATATTTCAAATATATTAAGATAAAAACTGAGGAAATATTTTGAGAAAGACAGAAAGAAAATGTGTAAAAATATTAAGAAAGAAAGAACGAAACAAAGAAACAAAAATTTGTAAATATATTAAGAATGAAAATTAAGAATATTGAAAAACAGAAAAAATTGTGTTAATATTTTTTAAAAAGAAAAAATTCGAAAAGATTGTAAGAAAGAAAATATAAAAATTAAGAAAAAAATTTTTTAAGAAAGAAAAAAAATGTGTAAATATCTTTTGAAAAGAAAACATTAAATCTGTTAAAAAAAAAAAGAACTAAACAAAATGAACAAAAAAAGAAAATCTGAAATATAGTAAGAAACATTTAAAAAGGAAAAAAAGAAAAAAAATATATTAAAAGGAAAGAATGAAAAATATTTTAAAAAAAAGAAAATAAAAATGAAATATATTAAGAAAAAAAAGAACATAAAGAAAAAAAAGAAGAAAATATGTTAAAAGAATGGAGAAATTTCAACATTCAATTCCATGGTCAAATAAAACCACTTTTCACGCCCAACCCAGTTCTGCGGAATCAGAATTTATGTTGCTTGCCTTAATCTCACACTGCAAAAAGTAAACATGAGTTGAACACAAAACGATAAAAAAAAGCTCGTAAAAAACCGAATGAATGAGCCAATTTTTCTGCGGAAAGAAAATATGCCATGCAGATTTAAATTTTTTCCCACTTGTGACGAATGCAGTTATCGATTTTTTTTTTATGCTAGCATGCTAGTTGACATTCGTGTCAATCAGCTGTTGGCTCTCACGCTGGCCAATAGAATCTTCCTGCCTATTCGTGGCAGCCAGCTATAGGCTCTCACTCTGGCCAGTAGAAAATGGCCGCAAACTACATGAAAACTGCCTGAGAAGCATGAAAAAAATCTATTATTTCCACTATCGAGCCACAGGTGAAACATGGCAGCGGCTTCTCATGACTTCCCTGTTGACTTAATTCTCTTCCTCTTTTCAGATTATTGCTGGGAAATTATGCCTTGGACGATGCAGCAGAAGAACTTTTGTGTGAAGACATATTGCAAAACTAAGTCTTTCAAGATTGTTTCAAGCAAGATAAACAGAAAAAAGTTCAATTTCAACACATTTCCAAACAAGAGTCAGTTTTGTCTATTTATTTGATGTAAATTCTTTTCATATCGTTTGATAAGCTTAATAGCATTACCATTAAACGAAGAAAGAAAATCACAATATTTATACATATTTTTTTTAATCCTATCTAAGCTTTCGGCTTACATAAGCCATTATTAAAGATGACAATTACTGTACAATATATTAAACAATAGACGGACAAGACAGTGATGATAGTGTTATATATATATATATATATATATATATATATATATATATATATATATATATAAAAGGCTCAAACACTAATATTCCATGGTTATAATTAATTACATTGGAATCGTAATCACGATCCAATTCATCAGACCTAAAAATTAAAAAAACAAAAAAAAAAAAAAAAACTTTTTTTTTTATCGAATTGGTAAACATAGTCTGAT